TCAAGGCTTGTGGGATCTCACAATCCACCCCCTTCAGGGGCTCAAGGCTTTAAAACGCGTCTGTTAGGGAAATTTCCCTTTCGGGCTTCCCTTTAAGGCTCGTGAGATCTCACAATCCACCCCCTTCACGGCCTCAGGGCTTTAAAACACGTCTGCTAGGAAAAAGTTTCTACACCCCTTATAAAGAGTGTTTCGTTCTCCTCCCTCCCTAACCAATGTAGGATTGTGGGATCTCATAGATTCAGTCGTATCATAGCTCCACTGATTTTTTTTTTTCAATCAGAGTATCTAACAGCGCAACCTGGTTCTACTTCACTGAGCCTCTGTTTATTTAATTACTATATGAAATTAATTAGCAAGATTTCTAACTTAACTTCAATTATTAAAATGTTGACGTTGACATAAATATTAAAATTTTATTTTTTTTAAAATATTCATAAATACTAATTTTAGAAAAAAAAAATATTTATTTATTTAATGGGATTAGGTTGAATCTATAATTCAAAGCATGTGTTGTACTCATTGTTAATATTTTTTTTGTGCTAAATAAAAAAAAATTAATTAATTAATTAAAAGAAATATTGAATAATCTCATATAAATATAAATGAATATTTCCTTTATCATCCTTATAATACGGAGCATGTGAGAATTAAATTATGATCACTACTTCATCATGTTTAACATTGACTTTTATAATTTAATTATAATAATTAATTTACTTTAAAATAACAATCTCAAAATAAATGATAATATTATTTTTTTTATTACTAAATTAATTTATTTTATCCTCCAATCAATATTTTTCTCCTATTTTTAATTGGACGGCTAGGATTTAAACCATCGTTGGGAACCATCGGTCAAGATTGAGCCAATTTTGACCCTTTTCTGGCTCCATCCTTATCGACAGAATGACGTGGCAACTCTACCACGTGTGGAGCCATCCGTACGTGTTGCTTTCTTTTACTCCACGTGTGAGAAATATCACTACTGGTCTTTCGGCGGCAAAAATTAATATCTCTTAACTTTTTTTATTGTATTAATTAAAATTAAAAAAACTAATAATTTTGTAAGTATATTTTCCAAAATTATATTTTTAAATAATTAAATTATATCAATAATATATTTTTTTATTGGAAAGATGTGGGAACATGTAATTATATATTATTGACAATATATATAAAATTAATAAAAATATATTATTTTTATTTCTCTGGTAGTGGCAGTGGTAGGTAATGGCAGAAAATAATAATATGAAAATTAATAAAAATATATTATTTTTGCAATGAGAATATTAATATGAATAAATTAATTTAAAATAATAGTAAATTGCTTTTTAATAAAGTAAAATCACATGTAAATTTGTTTATTTAAAGCAAAAAGTCCAATAATTTACCCTTTTTTTTCAATAATTCATGATATTAGTATATTTGATTGAATAATTATGCATTAATGTACCCATATTTTCAAATTAACTAATATTTTAAAAATAATATATAGTATAAGACGGTTGCTCGTCTCGAAAACTTTTGTAGATTGAGATTTTTATAAGCCGAGCAACGAATCTATTAATATGGTTCGAGATTGATTGATTTAATGATTGAACAAAATGGATTTAAGTTTCGAGAATCTATATTAGGTTGTCGTTTTTATGGTGTACATGAGTTAGGTTGAGAATTTGTTTTGGACCAACCCGAGATTTTGTATTAGTTGGGTTAGTAACCCAACCCAACACTCTATTCTCCCGTTGGGTTAAATTGGACTGTCAAATATATATATTTTTAATTATTTAAAAAAAAACCTACCATCTAAAAATAAATAGTTATTTTATTTAATCACTAAAGTTATAAAAGTTAAAAATTAAAAAATTAAAATTTTTTTTAGAAACTAAAAAATACTTGTAAGGTTAGTTCTAGACGAAAACGGTCAGTACTTTGTTTTAAAAATATCATTAAATTTACAAAAATTTCATTAATACCCTTAATTTTCAAAAAATAAAAATAAAAAACACCTTTAAACATTTTAATTATAGATTTATTTTTATTTATTTTAAAAAAATTAAAATAAGATCAAGATAACTATCAAACAAAAAAAAAATAGATTGTATTTATTTATTTATTTATTTTTATTTTATAGGATGCTATGACACATAAATATACACAATTTAAGTCACAGTTTTAACCTTCCATAATTATTATTCACCATCTTCTAATTTCTTCTTTTTTCCAATAATTACTGCTACTATTTACTTGTTTTCTCCGTTTTTAGGTCTAATAATATAGTTTTACTGCGGTAACCATTTAGCAACTTTTAATTAACTTTATCGTCTACTAAGTCAACTCAGGTAACTAATTATAACCAAATTATGAAGTCCAAGTTAGAGATTAATTACCACAATTAAAACTCATAAAAATACAAAATACATATATATATATATATAAGATAAAATATAGGTTAAAATATCATTTCGATTCATATATTTTAAATTTTATTTCATTTTTTTATAGTTTAAAATTGGTCCCATGATTATTTATATATATTTTTATCGAAATTTATTCAATAATAATAAATAATAACTTTTATGTAAAATATATATATATATATATATATATATATATATATATATATATATATAT